CATCATTCCCAAATACGCTGGAGAAGGATCTAAACTCGCTGACTTTCTTTCTGCTTGCGAATTAATCGTCACACAATTTCAAGACGCAACAAATCCACAAGTATTCATAAACAAATTCCTATTAACAGCGATAAAAAACAAATTAACCGGACAGGCAAAAGTAGTAACGGGATCAAGAGAAATTAATACTTGGAGAGCTTTAAAAAATATTTTACAATTAAACTTCGCAGACCAAAGAGACGAAAACTCGCTCTTACGAGATTTAATGCTTTTAAAACAAAAAACGAAACCCCGCAACAATTTTACATTCGCTGTCAAGACATGAAAAGTCTTCTTCTTTCAAATCTTGCAGTAACAGAACTCAATGAAGGAATTCGAATAGTAAAAAGAAACATGTTCGACAATTTAACCCTCAAATCATTTTTAAGTGGTTTACGAGAGCCACTCGGTTCAATAATTCGATCAAGAAATCCACAAACGCTGGAAGCAGCACAAGCACAAATACTCAATGAAGAAAACATTTTATACGTAAAAAATCGGACAAATTATTTAATTCAGAACAAATCACGTGAATTAAAATCGAACAACAGTCCCATGCACTTCATAAATAGAAATGCAACTCAACATTCTTCTAATCATCAACCTTCACATCCGAATCAAGGACGCACACAGTTCCACTCGCGACCTCAACCTCAAATGCAACGCATACATCAGCAAAATACCGGACAAAGGAATATCTCAAACAGATTTCCGCGACAACCAATTTATCATCAAGTTCCCACAATGCCGAAGTATCAACAAAATTATCCGCAAAATCTTCAGCAAAATCAATACCCGAGTCTCAACCAAAATCCGAATCCGAGAAGTTTTCAAAGAAATGTATTTACACCAAATCCGAATGTGAGACACAATTTTCCAAGACCAATTGCAATGGAAACACAAACAATAAGAAATCAAGTTGTACCAATGGACACACAGACAGCCAGGCCAACTTAAAATTCAAATCAAAATCAAAGAAGAAAATACACCTTCGAAGAATTATATCACAACGACAATGACTCACCTCAAACAAGTTATCTCCCATTTCCGAATGAACTTGAAGAAAATGAATCAGATGAAAATGGCACATTTGCACAATTTCAAGGACAGACTTTCGCAACAAGTGATTCCAATGAAGCTGTTATACCCGAAGAAATTTCTCCAAATCAAAATTTTTGGCTAACCCCGCCTCTCGAGGACCAGACTTAACATTTCGCCCACAACAGCCTACAATCGAACTCAACATAGACACAAACTACATTTCAAAATTGCCATACATAAGGACACCGGAATTAAATTTAAAATTAATGATACGAGTAGACACTGGATCAGCTAGCAATTTGCTACGCCCTCAAGTCGCACAACAATTTTATCCTTCTTACATCAGAGAAGATGCATTTCAAATACATTCAGTTCACGCAACCACTCAACATTCAGAAAGCGTAACAATCCCAATTTCGCAAATTTTTGGAAGACCAGACATCAAACAAAAACATTTTCTATTTGACTTCAATCCTAAATACGATCGATTAGTCGGAATTGATTTCCTACGTTCAATAAACGCATGCTTAGACTTTGGAAAAAATCTTTTGATAACAGAAAAAGCCATAGTTCCCATTTACTTTTCGCAAGGATTAGTCCAGAGCCACCACCCTTTTGAACATAGGGTATACTTGTTCCGTTTAGGACGTACTTCATAAACTTTTTTGATAATGTTGAGTTGTTGCTGGCTGATCCAGTTACAGTGTATCTTGAATCTACCTGCTTGTTAATCCAGGATCATCCTCTTGTAGCATGGGGTCTATATAATTTTATGAGGTATATTCTAAACGAAACGAGAGTAGGTACTACTTAAGAGCAGCAATTCATTCGTACCTTTAACTCTTAACGCCGACGACCGCAAACATGTATGTGATTTGTGCCGATAACAATCGACGTGGAAAATGGCCAAGACGCTGAGAAGCAGAAGAAGCGACAGAAGGCCTGTAGCGTACTACAAGTTGATTGTCGCCGGGCGTTAGGCAAACAGCCTAACCTTTCTGCTCTCTACCTAAACTACTACCACCCCGTACAACCCAACCGGGCATAGGCCACCCTCTAGCGTGTCGAATGTTTTGAAAATAACGACAAGAAAGAATTCGCCGCTCGTTCATCCTGACAGTTAGACCACCCTCCGGCAATCCGGTCTTTGTGGTTGTAAAGGTCCAGCCGCCCTCCACCTGGATTATTTGGTAGTAGTAGTTTTTGGAGATCGTGGAGGAAGATTGGAACAATAGGGTGGGTCCTTTATCCATATGCTCAATTGTTGTTAGCTTATACGGACTTGCATCGTAAACAAGGCCACTATCACCGATTCAAAGCTGGAACAACGGTGTCGTCTTTACCGAAGAGGGCAAAGCCGTCGCCTTGGCTCACAGTCTGGAGATACAGTCCCAGACAAACATCGATCCTAATACAAAAGACGAACACATGGACCTCGTCGAAGATCTTCGCGAAGAAGAACCCGACGACAACGAACTCATCAACGAAACCAATTCCGACGAAGACTGAGCCATCATCTATAAAGCCTTAAGCCAAGGAAAACCCCAGGTCCCGATTAAATCCTGAACAAAGCACCGATGAACCTCTCCAACGAGGTTATCATCGCCTTGATAGATGTTATTAATGTTATGTTCAAATTTCGTTTCTTACCAGGTAGATCGAATCAGGCCAATGTCATCTTAATTCCAAAACTCGGAAAAAATCAATCTTTTCCTTAAAATTATCGCCTCATCAGTCTTCTATCGTCAGTGAGGAAGATCGCTGAAAGGGTCATACGAAAACGGCTTGCCGAGATCGTGAACAACTAGGAATTCTTCTCGACGAGCAGTTCGGCTTTCGACACCACTACTCCAGTTCACTGGCGCAGTGTTTCTCGATGTGACCAAAATTTTCAACAGTGTCCGGCATGAAGGACTTATTTACAAGATCCACTTTGCATTGACTCATTTCTGGTTGCTTGCACCTTTCGTGCTCGTACAGGTCACTCTCTATCAGCAGAACATCCAATAAACTTTGGAATCCAGCAGGGATCAGCGCTCTCTCCCCTGCTGTATGCGATCTTCACCGCAGATATTCTCAAACCCCCTCCACCTAGTCTCGCGATCTACGCAGACGACATCGCCATCCATGTCGGCGCAAAATGTGACCACCTACTTACAGGGGGCCGTTAATTCGTTGAAGGAGTGGTGCAGACCTTGGCTCTTCACAGTCAGTCCCGATAAAAGTTCTGCTCTTTTCATCACGAAAGGTCATCAAGGCTTAGTAGAGCACGTCTCAATGTTTGGCCAGATCATCCCCTGGCAGGACAAAATAAAATATCTAGGTGTCTTCACTGACAAAAAGCTCAGCTTTATTCCACGCATCAAAGGCGTCCAGGCGCCACTAATGGGTAGACGCAGCAAGATGTCGATCAAAAACAAACTTCTTCTCTATCAAACAATCATTTGCTGCACCACGTCTTATGCCTCAGTAGCCTGGAGCTAGGAGCCTTCTAAAAACCCAATTTCATTACAATCATTTGCCGCACCACGTCTTATGCCTCAGTAGCCTGGAGCTTAGGAGCCTTCTAAAAACCCAATTTCATTGGAAGTTCTCTAGACAAAAATTCTCGGACATGCTTTCAGGGCCTCCTGGTTCGTCAGGAACAACCAGATTCTTCGTGAGGCCAACATTCCGAAGTTAAAGCAATTTTTGCCCGAAATTACACTTCGCACCTTCAAGAAAGCTGAAGAACACTCCAACCCCTTAGTCGTCGACTACGAGTTCGACTGCTTGATCATAAATATCGGCGTGATCCCACTCGATGCTCCCACCTACTGATCATCCTCGGCTTTCCACACCCCCAACTCCACCGCCCCTAAAGGCAGGTAAGTATATCAGTGGATCACTAGAGGAGAACCGTAAGATTATTGCCTATGATCAACCAAACTTGGTAACACAACATCTCTGTGTCGCCCCAAGAAGCGCGACCTGGATGAAAGGGACAAAGTTCTGGTATCCGAGCAGAAGGTGGAGGGGTTTTAGGGTGGTAAGCAATTTATTGCCATCCCCCAGTACATTGTGCGGAGAACCAACACGCCGATCTGCCCACAGCATCCCCGCCCCCCCAAAAAGAAACAAAAAAAATGTGCTTATATATATTTATTCTCCACTCAAAATTCATTATTACTCATGATCAACTCACCAAGTCACCTCTAGCAAACGTTCATATTCATCATTCAGCAATCACACAACTCTAACATTCTGATACATACTTTTTCACATCAAATCTTTAATATCTTATTCACCCAGTTATTTGTAATGTTTTATCCGCAATAAATACCCTCTAACTAAAGTAACATTGGACTGTGGCTCTATATCATTCACCCATATTCATTATATCATTCATACTGAAAACAATATAAACTGAGAATATTAATTTCAGGCTATCAACCTTCAACAAATTAACAGTTGCTATTGTTTTATATTACAAGTTATCCATATCAAATAGACTAGAATTCTTAGCTTACCAGGCTTACCTTATAATATCCACCTGAAAATATGTATATGGTAGGTAATTTTTTTTTTAATCAGTGATCTTGAAAACTGAGAGCAGACGAAACAAAACAAAATCTCTGAACGTATTTTTTAATATGCCTACCAGCTTTTAATAAAGTCAACTTTTTAAATTAATTAAAGCTTCATATGCCAGCAGTATTTGATAAGTATACTCTGCTTGACAATTATAAAGATTACGTAATAAAATTAAAGACTGAATCAATGACTTCACCTTTAAGCGGTTTAAGTTTCAGTAAATTTAGTTTTAAGGACACAGTAAAACTGTAATTTATAGTTTATAATTTTACAAAGCTGACTAAATCTTTACACACAAACAAAATTCGGGTAAATTTGGCAAAAGTGGCGAAAATAAAATGAAGCACTGTAGTTGATTAATGCATCAGCAAATTTATTTTGATATTACATGTATTAGACAAGTAGTTATTGATAATCAAAACCACAATTCGCGCAAGACATAGGAAGATCAAGACATGTTCGGTGCTTGCACTTGCTTGTGCGACGGCCCATGGACGGACCGTTGTACAAAACTGTCATAACAGACGACTAGAACTATTGCATTAATGATTTTGTTAGGCCTCAATTTATAAGATCACTATAAATAGTAATATCTATGGTATATTATTATTCTTATTTTTCGAACACATCCAATTCAAGTCAAAGTAAGTGCAGAACGAGATGTATAAATAATTGAAACGAGATTCGTAGTAACGCGGCAGGTGAAAACGAGCGCAAACCGATCGACCTAAAAAGACAATTACTAATTTTAGTCGTGGTTGATTACGCTCGATGAATAAGCACCAATTACCATCAAGATAACATTAGAACATTACAATAAAATATACCATCTACATTCAACGTCTCTCGAATCACATAAAAACTTTGAAAACAGTAACATTGAATTGATATTTATATTTGGATAGTAATGATAAGAGTAATTGAGATATCGTCAATTGTAATAAGTTATAATAGTTGACCACAGAAATTTATCAAGTTCGTAGTTCTGCTTAAAAATGTACTTAACGGTTATTACTAAATTAAATTAGGATTAAATATTCTGTCACTAAAATCTATGCGAGGGTGAGCATAACAATCCGCGGTTTACTGGAAACGTAACATAGTACAATATTTCACGATATGGGTTCATCTACATAGAATTACTTTTAAGTGCAAAAAACTCATCAAACTGTAATGGCTCCTATTCGTTAATTCTAGGTCAATGAATCCATATTACATATACATTTATGATAACCGGGATGTCAACGCGGTAACCCCGCGATCACACAAGAGTGGTTGATGTTTACAACTTAGGATAAAAAGTCTCTGCGACCGGCTCCAATAATTCGCACGGTCTTAGGCTACTGAGCTTGGGGATCGCATTGTAGGAGTCTGACGATGGAAGGATCGCTCTTGGCCCCTTCAATAAATTCCTCCAGGCTCAATTTTCCGTCCTTATTTCGATCCATTTGACGGAATATTTTATCTGTACGTTTCTCGGGCGTACTTTCATCTTCAGGCATTTTCATGACAGAGCCTACCATCTTATATATTGCCTAAAACAGATTGTTAATAACTAAACATACACAGATCTTGAATAAAATTCATACCCCCTTTTAAGATTGTATTTTAAGAGGGTTGTTCTAAATAGCTGTGTCTTCAGCTAATTATTGCTTCGTAAAGAAGACGAAGAAAATATTTTATATAATTATATAGTGTACTGCGAATTTCCAAATTATTTTTGGTAAACGCTTAGTTCACATTACTTTTTACAAATAATGATAATTTTAGAACCAAAGAAGTAAAAATAGTCCAATTAAAAATTAAAATAATTCCATTATTTCAATCATTTTACCTGATATTTAATATTTTTGAAGACATGTGGGTGCTGACATTAAGTATTTTCTATAATGAGAGCAATCGACTAGCCTGAATAAATGCTTAAAAATCTTGATTAATGTTATTATTTTTGTTTAGAATATTTTTACTTCGTGAGCTTCAAAAACTCTCAGATCTTAAAAGTTATGTGAGCTAAATGTGTGCCAAAAAGAATTTGGAAATTCACAGTAGAAAAACCATTAACACGACTTAAAATTAACACCATGTAAATCCATGATCCATTCGTAAAAAAAACGCACTGTATAGTGCTAACCTTTTCTTGAACAAATAGGACTTGAATTTCCCGCTTATTGGATAATCTTGGTTAAGTTTACGTTACTGATGTCGAATGGTGCACAAAATATCATCGAATTTCTTGAAAAATGTGGAAAAATTATCAGTGTAGGCTGCCCCCTTTTCAGTATTTTCGTTAATAAATTGAAGCAAAGGACAAGTTCAAGACGAAATAAAATAGAAAATGACAGAAATTAAAACGATAAGACAGCATTACGCAGGTTGTTCAGCCATTTCTTAGGGAGAATGAGAAACAATTTATAGATATATGACATACAGTTAAGTGCAAAATTGAAAGAACGACTCTTCCAATGGAATTTTCAATTTTTTTGCTGCCTAAAACCGACTTGTCAAAAATTTGAAAAATTGGCGATTTGCTGGAATGATCACCCTTCTTCTCTTAACGTTATTACGACTATTTTGTCATGTTGATTCAAATTAGCCCTTATCTTTGTTACAACTATTGAAACGGTTTGATCAAATTTTGACAAATTAAATTATTATTGTTAGTCATGTCAGTTAGGAGACAACTCGCTCCAATTTGCAACAAATTAGTCATTCTTTCAATTGTGCACTACCGCACTAAATAAAAGAAAAATGTAATTTTCAAAGAGATTAAAAATTTTAATAAACACAAATCAAATATTAATAACAATAGATGTGGAATGACAAAATAAATCGTACAAGATTATGTATCGACTGATTTCTTCAGATTATCAATGTGTTTTTAAAATGACAAGCCGTTGCAAAAATGCATTGTTTATGGGTTTGCTAAAATTACACATAGCTCATCAAAATTTCCAATTTATCTCAGAAATTACACAACAGATGATTTCTTAAAATATTTAGTGACCAACATTGATTTAAAGATTAAAGAACATTAGCAAAACTTATTTACGCATTCTCTTCAGAAAGTCTGTTTAATACGCCCGGAGATGAGGAATATTGTTTCAGCTCTTTTATACAGCTCGAGTTTATTCATGATCTCATAAAAGGCGCACATGGTTTTGCTGAATATCAGGGAACAGAGTAATATTATTAGTGTTACATTGTCCACAGCAAAATTTCATTTATTTATACCTACGTCCTCACCAGTTGACTTCATACGAAATAATTATTAAATACATTTTTATTAACATTTTGTACATCAGGATAAAAATACCCAAAAAAAGCTTTTTGTAAATTCAGACATTGGAATAATGAAACAATTGATCTACTCGTTCAACAAAGGAGGAGATAGTTTAAAACATATGGTTTACAACTTGTTTCTTTTATGCTTGCGGCGTTTTTGTTATGCCCCAGAGTCGGAAACATTCCATAAAATCAACATGGACGAAGAAGTGTGATGGACAGAATAAGAGCTTTCATCAAACCACAACAGCAGATAAAAGAACAATGGTATGCGAATATGACTGAAATATACAAATGCATGCTGAAAAGGAAATTCACCAGTGACATCAAGCAATAGAAGAGAACGAAAAGTTTTAATTCATTATTATCAGTAGGTTAATACATTCTGTAGAAAAGTCCATTTAGTTTATCTGTTATATTCATGAGACAAAAGCAGAACTGGTTACCCAACTTGTGAATGAAGGTCATTTCGAGAATGCTCATGCAAAAAGCTGCGTGTAGAATAATAACTAAAGATCTGCACATGACACATATTCCGAAATATTCAATGCCTAAACTTAATGCAAAAAAAGAAAAGTTTATACTGACATCCTTGAAATAGTGGGCACCTGAATATAAAATTCGGAAATAAATGATTTATGTATGAAATAAAAAGCATGAACTGGTCGGGCACCACATTCAATATTAAAATATTCTCAGCATGCAATATGACGTGCATGTAATATGATGTTATACCTTGGTATAAAAATAAGCAATATAAAGTAAGAAGCTTATTCTCTAGTCAAATGGAGTAATATTTTCATAACAAACCAGAAACTTTAAACAATAATAAAAGGACAAGTTGTTGTTTTCGCTTGTGTGTTAACTTCACTGTAGTTTTGATATAGATGAATAATAATTTAATAATGAACATTGGAATAAATGCAATGTTAACACGAGACACAGCATTGCCGTAAATATAATACAAGAACGAGGAAAAAAAGTTACTATTGATTTCATCTTGTTGTAGTTAATGTGAAATATGAAAGCTTATTTATAACATTGCAACCACTAACGTAAAACACTTTAAAGAACGCAATAAATTTTCCAGAAAAAGTTAAACAAAGTGTAGAATAAAATGATGCACAACACAATACTCACCGTGACTATTTCGAGCATCTCCTGTCGTGATATATAGCCATTGCCATCTAAGTCGTACATTGAAAATGCCCATTTTAGTTTCTGCTCTAGTTTACCCCGAGAGGTGACGGATAGTGCACACAAAAACTCCCGAAAGTCAATGGTTCCATCTCCATTAGCATCGAATGTACGAAAGACATGCTCGGCAAATTTGCTGGCATCGCCGTAAGGAAAAAAGTTACCATATATTTTCTTAAATTCATCTACAGATAGATGACCGCTAGGACAGTCTTTAAGGAAACCTTTGTACCATTCTTGAATCTCTGCATCTGTAAAAAATATTAAAAAATGACATCTATTGAGAAATAAAAGAAGTTCCATTTACTTACAATTATTATCAGTACAAAGCAGCTAAATATTAAATTTACGTATTTGTTTGCATTGATCGACAAATTTTTGCTATTTTTATAAAATGTTGTTAATAAGTCTTACGCACCTAAATGTTTGCTGATGACGACCTTGAAATTTATGTCACATCTTCACTTTTTAAGGTATATAGAACTACAGACAATGATGAAGCACAAGTTTCAAAAAAGTTTACATAATTTTTTGATGCGGATAGATTCATTGTACCACTTCATTAAACCCGAATAACTAACACAATATGTCTGTTGGTACAACATATTACAAATCTGACAAAAGGTATCAAAGACATGGAGTCCAAAATTGCTTGCACATTTCGACGGATCTCTTGTCCAGCATCTACGTCAATTTTATAAAAGAAAAACCCCACAATTTTAATGCTTCGTTGATATAAAACAACCATTAAGTTAAAATAGTGTCGTCAGATTTTAATAAAAATTGATTAATGTACTTCCAATGAATGTGAGTACAAAATTCATTATTCTTAAACAAAATCTTCCAAACATGGCTTTAGGTTCATTGTAATTTAATTTGGGACTCGAAAAGTTAAGCAGCGGAAATACAATGGTGTAAAAAGATTATTTTAATGTTTACTAATAATGTTTGAAAAAAAATACATATGGCAGATAATTATTCATAATTAATAAATTTATTACATCTACAATTACATATACACTAATGAAGAGTATTAACAGACAACACCATTTTTACAAACCGCCAGGAACATAAATAACAAATACGATAAAAACAAGAAAAATAACCAATACATATATATACGAAAACATATTTGTTTTTACTGCAGTTCTAGACTTTTTGCTTCAGATTTTTAAAAAATAATTTATGAAATAAGAAGGTAATAAAGATAATAAATTCTTTCCAACGACAATCCATTCATGTGTATTTGCGAACGTGATACTATTCGCCATTCAACGCAGTTCGGAAGCTATACCCGCGTGTTGTAAACATACATATTTCGATTACAAAATTAGAAGCAATTTTATTTATCTTGTGAACACAGTATGAAATGAATGGCATTTTGTATTATTTTTGCCTCCGCAAAACAACTTACTTATCCGTCAGAAATATTGGTGATTTCAGGACTGCACATTTCTTTAAAATGCGGTTACTTTATGGAACAGCCTCCTTTTTGAAGGTATTTGTTTAGATTTCAACAAGAGCATGCTTTAAAGTTATGCTATAGTCATTGTCCTATAAAAATAAACAACGTTTTGAAAACTTCGTTATTTTGTTTACTTACAAATTTTATTAAAGTAACAAAGTTATGCTATCAATTTGAAAAATTAAAACTCGATAAAGTGAAAACCAAAATGTATAATGCTGGTTTAGTACAAGGCATTCACTTTTTTCAGTGTAATAATTTATAACACTAGTATTTTTATGTAGTGTATTTTCGTATTTGTTATTAGGTTAATCTTGTAGTGGTAGTTAGTTTTTCAAAAATAAATAGAAGTGACTAACATACATCTCTTATAAAATTCTAAAAAACAACACACAAATATTATTTACGTAAATATAATTAGTTCCCGCAGTTTTGGAACCCACTGTTAAAGTTAACTTGGTCTCTCGGCAAAATGTTCACGGTACCTACATAATTTTCAATTATTTGAATTAATAAAATTTACACAAAATTTATTACAACGTACTTTTACAAAATTTTCGTTATAATGAACGCTACAATAGGTGATACCAATTTGGAACACAAATTCTGAAAGTACTTAATATTTTTATGAGTTGCAAGTATTAACTAACCAATCAATACAAAATTTAACAAGTAGTAAAATGTCCAAGAACATTTTGTTACAGCATTTACTAATTACATCATGTGACTATACTTGTTTGTTGAACTTGTAGTTATTACTCTCTCATTTGCAAGCTGCGTAAAAATTCTCGTGTAAGTATAAGGATCTTTAGCCAGTTAAGTAAAATTTCTATATCTTGTAGTGTATTCTTTTACTAAATATATTTCAAATTATAGCTACTTTATTATCAACGCTTAAATTGAACTAAATTACGAAAGGAAAAAAGAAAAAACTTAATATATTACAACCAAGACATAGTTACCTGAGAATTCTGTGTTCTGCTTTAAGTCTTCCAAAACTTCGGGTTTAAGTTTGCTATTCTGTTTCCCCATGGTTAGAGCAGGCCAGTCTCGCTAACTGCTCACTCCCGCTCCCTGCACCGAGTTAACGTCATCTCCCTTAAATCACACGAGATCATACACGCTCCTCACATTCCAAAAACAACAACTTCGCCAAATAATACGTATATTATTATTTAATTGTCATAATATTTTGTGATAAAAATTCAAAGAATATCTGCCATCAATATGTATTATATGAAATAATTCAATTTAAAGAGAGCTGCTCCTGGCTTCGTTATCATTACCCCACAATTCGAATCCAAGAGGTTTTCGAAAAACCTCCTGCAGACGTTACAATTTTAATGACATCTAGAATAATGTATTACGCTTAATTTACAATATGTGCAAGTAGAAAAATATTAATTAATTGATAAATAACCAACACTTTCACAAATATGCACTAAATGATGTATCACATCTGTTACTTATGTTATGATGGTATATTATTAAAATAAAACAAATACAAAAAATATTAAAACATGCTAGCGGCTGTCGGTATCAAACTCTTCGTTGCTTAATTTGGTTTATTTAAGTGCAATGAACAATATGATGCCGCAGTTGCAGAATGAATAAGTTCACATAATTAAAATAAGATTAACTAATATATTCATGTAAATGATTACCAGAAATTGTGCTTTAATATATACCTATTGTTAAACAAGGTGAAATTTTCCATTGTGAACTGCGAATGGATTATTACTAGAATTATTTGAATCTTTTAAGAGGAAGAATTATCGAATGATGTATGTCTGACTATTAGCGTTTTAAATTACATACAAATAAATTACAGTAAAAGCGAAAGCAATAAGTTAAATATTCATAATAGTCCAATTTTTGCATTAACCATACATACATAAATGATGTTTCAAGAGAATAACCATTGTAGACAGTAGAAAAAGTATTGTATGAGAATTTTCATACATCATTGTGAGGAATATGCATATATACGTATATCTAAAAATGATTACAATAAAAACCCTTGCCAGTCATTTTTACACTGTCCATTAAAAAGTACCAGAAACCCAATGAGTTTTTTGTTTTATTCATATCCGTCATATGCAACTGCACAAACCACATAACAATAAAAGTAAAGTACAAGACACCTATATATTATTATCTACTAACTTAAGGTAATGAAACCGTACTGAGAAAAACATTCGTGAATACTGTGTAAACGACTTGTTTTTTTTTTTTTAAATTGAGAAATCCGAAATACCCATTTCAATAATTTTGATTGTACCTATGTATCTGATGAATGTCACAACTCAAAAACCACTCAAAAACATCTCGTAAACAAATTTGATTTGCATTGATCGCAGTTCGCAAAGGAATAAAATCCACTCAGAATGTCAGGTGTTTTATAAAAAACGGAGTAAAACATTTTGATTTATTTATTACAGTGCAAACGGAAGGTAACAGGTCACACTTATTCGTAGGACCCATACTGAATTTCCGATCTACGTATGTATTACGTACAAACACGTCGTAAACAAAGGAAAGATTGACAAGTAGTTTCTGACTAGCATTTGATTAAGCAGAAGAAACAAAACCAAACGTTTCTCCGTATTTTATTAAAAGCCCAAGAAGTAGGTGCTGAAAAGCTCGATCTACTCATACCTAATTTAAACGATATGTCGTTTCTGAACCTTCTTTACCTTTATCGCCGTTCAAAGAGCAAAAATTGTCAAACGCCGTAAATTCGGATGGGTCAGCTATACAAGGACAGTACATTCATGATATGCTTAAAATGGTAAATACATTCATATTGTAAACATCTACGTTAAACGAGCATTATGAACTGACCTGAACTCATACAACATTGTCGTGCTATGCACGACGTGCGGATTGTGCACGCGATTTGCCTAAGATCTATGTATACTAAATATATTTCTATATGTATTTAATTAGCTAAATTAAATCCTTATGAACAAATAAAAAATAATTGTTCAAAATGCTGAGGAATAAACCCAAATAAACGAATCGTTTTAAATAAAAATTCAATTTTGATTACATCAGATTTTTAGCATTAACAATAGCGGTATGTTTTTATTACGGATTAAAATCACGCGAACTAGTTTATGGCTTATGTACGAAAATATATGGCAGTTTCAACAAAATCAATGAAATTGTTCTCGTGAGAAACACGAACCACTACCCAACTGAGGACAAACTTCGATCGCTACAGAACTATTTGTCTACTTTGTTTTTAGCTAAATAAACGTATTCTACATCTTTTACGAGTAATTAATTGACTTTAACATTTGTGAGTTACTTATAATTTTAATATACTAATAATTTTAATATACTTGGTCTTTTAAACAGGGTGTACGGACTACAAAGTCTACTTTTAATTTCTATGATGTATTTAAAAAAATGTTCTGATTATGAAAAGCCATTACTTAATAAGATCAGCCACCAATGAGTTCACTGAGAAGGACATAGAAACATTTTCATCACACAATTGTAATAATAAAACCTTGTATCAAAAGTTTACGTTCGTTCAAAATTTCTACACCCTGTAACGGCATTACGTTTACTTGGTCTATTTAGTATTTGAAATTTACATTTCTCGTTTATTAAATCTTACTTCTATTAAAACACAGTCAATCAGTGTTTATCTTTTTATTTTTAATCCGTAATAATTTCATACTTTATATAATATGACTAGTTAAATGCATGGTGTACGAAAATAAAAAATGTATGTATAAATAAACACTAAATTGTGATCGATGTTATAAACTCATGCACAACTACAAAATGCCGAATGATTCCGATTTGAAAATATATGATAATGTACCCGTGATTTGGTTGAGTTGGTCACTCAAAAGTTTTTTGCTGCAAAAACGTATATGGCTACTTCAGCATAAGACACGTTTCCGCACTAATGTACTGCACATTAAGGAGCTAACATTTTCGACAGTTCTTCATCTTGTAAACATCCTTTAAGAAATTCTTCTTGTGTCAATTGCCCATCGTTGTTTTCATCCATTTTGGCAAATATGTTCTTTGCCCTTTCTTCAGCAGAATCTGCAGGTCGATTAGACGAACAAGCTCCTAACATATCATATATGGCCTGCAAGAGTAACAATCATAAGCACTTCCTATTCATAGAGTTCGTTGCAGTTAATGCACTAGGGCTTTTGGATATGACAGCAATTTTGAACTTCGTTCAAGTAGATATGTATGTATTCTGCATTTACGGTAGAGTTAATCAACCGGTAAATAATTTATGAATGATTATAAATAAAAAAATAAATACTGTTGAATCGCTCGAACAACACCGTTTGTTACAGTGTACCGAAGTATTTGTAATTCGATGTCTTTCTACGCAAATTTGCCTCATTCGATTTTTTACATTTTTAGCGAAACTTTAATTATACTATTTAATTAAATATATATATATTTATATAATGTTCTATTTGTAGAATAAAGTAAACTAGCTAGATCAGATCTAAACAAATTGAAACAAAAGAAAAGGACACAAATTATACTAGAACTCCCAGCTTTTTTATCTTTACCAAAAATGTAACTAGCATTTCAAATAATACAATTTTTTTTTTGAACAATTACATTATATATGTTAGTCAAAATGCTTTTTCTCTAGTCAAAACTAGTAACTGAATGCTTTTGTTACAACTAGAATTTACTGCTGTCACCAGTTAAAACTAGTTCTAACCTGACGCACCATGGTGACAATGGGTTTTAATTTAAAGTAACTGAAATAATCAGACAAAGGAACATCCAAAACAGCTTCAATCCTAACGGAAAACAAACATAAAACAAAAAATAAAACGCGTTGTGTCTGGTTAGTTTTATCTGATTTTCATTTTTAAACGACAGTAAATTCTAGTTGTAACAAAGGCATTTCGTAAACACTAGTTTTGACTAGAGAAAACACGTTTTAACTGTAACATATATACCGTTCAATTATCATCATACCGGTATCTATGTTGGTACAAAATTAAAAAGTTAAAACTAGAAATTCATAATAACTCAATAATAATAATTTGCCAATAGTATTCAAATTTATTTGTTCTAGTGGTTCTACAAGTTTTTTCGATTTACTTTATTTTGTAAAACTAAATTTACTATAAATCAGTGGCATGCATACAATAGAGATGTGTAAGTAAAGGCAAATGTAATGTTACCGGAAAATAAACCCAACTTGCGGGAAATAAAGTTTGTAGTTTGTTCTAGCTTTTTTGTGTGTTTGGGCAAAAATATTTTAGGAGTGTTAAATGTTACTTTACTCGAACTCTGTATTACAAACTCCAGCATCACTCTGTAAATAAATTAAACTGAAAGCATGCTGCAGTATGTATCACACTAGGATTCTGTTTAAATGAATTTTTAAAGCACTGTTTTTTGGCTGGGGTATTGAATTGTTTAAAGAATGTTTTTTCTGTAGATTTTAGCTTTATAAAGCCGGTTCTGCCAAAATTTTAATTATTCCTATTTGATTAGAGAACTAGCTTGGAAAATTGTATCACTGGTTTCGGTTTGAAAACAAAGTAATACGTATTTTTGAGACTCAAACTTTAGCAACAAGCAAAAACCACATTTCTATTTTCTGCAAGTCTGTTTCACTAAAAAAAATACCCCAAAACTTTTTAATTTGTTAATTTTGCAACAATAAGCACAGTTCAAACTGTATTTTAAAATCATATTGAATGACTTTTAACTTACACATAAGGCGATACAATGTTGCCTAAATAATGTTTTGATCTTTCACGTTCTTTAACACCTATGTGACATAAATTTTTTCTTTTTCACTTATTTAATCATAAGTATTTCGAACATTTACTAAATTCAGTTCAATTTGGTAAATTTCATACCACCACACGAGTACATATACCGTACAACCAGCATTAACGTCAAGCAATGCCATCACATCGTTTAGGTTGACAACACGATAACACATCACCTTTGTAACGTAATGTTAAGATTCAAACGAATTCGTTTCAAAAGATGTTTGTGAAGTCTCTGCGCTCTTGTAAAGAACAATAAATATAGTGGATATAAAATCAGAAATCATCAATACCACATGTCGAAACTTCCTCATGACCGTTTTAAAAAATTAAGCTTTGCATATTTCATTTTAGAGATTGAAAGATTAGATTTTTAGACGAGAAAGTAAACGTTTGCAAAACATTTTTTTCAACTAGTACCATATGATCGAAAAAAAGTTCTCTAGTAGGCCAAGAAATATATTTTTACTTCCCGAGCGTAACCTAAGGAATTATTGTAATCGAGTCCATCGGGTAATTTGCCAGTTTCATGTTTTTTCGACGTTTCATGACCCCAAGAGTGCGAAAAAAGTGATCTCCCGTTTACGCCTGTCTGTCTGCCTGACGTCTGTATCCATGTTTATTAAACGGGACCGACTGTTGCCAAATTTTGTATATACAGGGTTAGTCACGAGAGAATTACTTCTGAAAATTATTTTTACGCAACCCAAAATACTAATACCCTGTACCACTTGATATTATCTAAATTTAAAATGAAATGCCTAATCCATGATTGCTTTGACTTTAGCAGTGTCACTTTGACGTTAACTAATTTTTAACATTTTTTTTTCATCGTTGACTCGTCTCTAGAGCCCCATTGGATCGACGACATACAGTCAGATCAATCTGGGCTATACTGAAGCCGTAAGTGCTCTACCAATGTTGTTCGCCGCTAATGTGCATGTGTTAATTCGCCATCTCTGCGTCACCTAGAGCCTCTTCGAAGTGCAAATCTGCAACCTCTGGACTTCTTCGGCCATCCATTTACAAAAAGGGCGTAGCATTCCCCCAAAATGCCCAACATTTTCAACAGTTTAGTAGTTAAATTATTTACTTACTTGTTTGAGTTTGTGTTGTAACCTTTGAATAAAATGCCGTAAAAGGAATTTTTAGAAATAATTTTCTCGTGATTAATCGGTTGCAAAAGATCAAGAGGCACACTGACAAATGTATTAGCGGCCCCGGAGGAGATTTCCGACTGGCGCGGTACCACCATGGACACTCGCATAACCTCCTTTTCCACAATTGTCAAAATGAGATTGCCAAACTCAAAGCAATCATGGATTAAGCATTTCATTTGAAATTCAGTTAGTATCAAGTGGTACACGGTATTCGTATTTTGGGTTGCGTAAAAATAATTTTCAGAAGTAATTCTCTCGTGACTAACCCTGTATATTAAGAATATCATGTATACTATTTCCAGCGATAGATTGGAAAATTTTCAATTCACAATCGCCAATCGGAGAATCCAAAATATACTAACATTATACGCTTAAAGCAGTTAAAGAGTTGTAGTTTAAGTTGGCAACCAACGTTCGTTTTCCCGCGCAACGAATTTCCTACGCCTCTATGCCTGCGCCAGGGGTCTTGAAATGAGATAGCCTTCATCTTATCCTTTCTTTGCGAAGTTTTCCGACCCGCCCGCCAGGAGTCGTAATGAAAAGAAATCTGTAAAAGCTGTGATTTTCAAAATTTTTGAGAATTCGTTTAGATCTCCTAGCAACGGCAGTGTTTATCATTTGACACATTTCCTGTTGTATTCGAGTGATTTATGCGTGATTTCATAGTGGGATAGTGCTTCTCAAAGTTTTCTTAATTTATGTGTTTACATTGTACATTGTAGAGTCTAATTGCCAAATGTAAGTATATAACTTTGCCTTGACTAGATTATTATACCCAATTTTTGTAGAACAAAAATGCAAGACAACAACATGTTACGGATATACGACGAGAGTTAAGCCGATCTTTGGGTTCCACATCCAAATCGGTTTATGGCGCAAATAATAAAGCCGCGAATAACCAAAAACTGGTGGTTTTAAACAACAACCAAATTTATAGCAGAGGGTACACTGACTTCCATCATTTTCGACCAGACAAAGACTACATACCAGGAACGCAAAAGCCGCATAGATTTGCAGTACCAGCTATTTTGCCTTTCCACGGTAAAAAATTGAAAGTCACTACAAAACAAATATTAAGATATTTTTATTCACAGCTGATAGTGAACTTACTACAGCATCACTCGAAGCAAACCACATTGATGTGGCAATCACAAGAACGCCTTTCGCTCCGCTAAGAAGTTTCTAGGAGATCAACGTTTGGTTGGTATCGTGAAAGGATTGGCTTCTTTTCAGCGAGAATTTTTTGAAAACTAGATTAGAAACGTAAATCGAAAAGCAGGAGTTTTACATTTGAGGTGAAAGCAGATGCCATTGCCATTTGGAAGTATGGTTCAAAATCGTATAAACTTTTGCCAAGAATGTTTATGTTGCTATCTATTAACACTTTGAGGGCAACCCTAAATAAAGTTCCAATAGAACCGGGTATCATCAAACCTATATTCGAAGTTCTCAGAAAGCAAGTAAGTCGCAAAATTAAAGCTAAGTATGTACTCTCATCTTTGATGAGATGTTCATTCAGCCTCATCTGGACCACTTGCCTTGTGATGACAGTTGTGGTTTTTGAAGATGACGGTTCAACAAGGACGGAAAAAATTGCAGACCATATTTGCGTACTCAGAGGAATTTTCGGAAGGTAGAAGTAACCTGTTGTTTTTGCTATTTGTAAAAATTCTATGCCTGGCGTAAACACTGTCCATTTTTTTATAAAACGGTTATGAAAGGGGCAACAGCGATTGATTTTGATTTTCGGGAGTGTTTTGCATATCGAAGAACTAAAAACTCAACTTTTTCATTTATTTTTAAGAGAGTCTATCTTTAGATCTATGAAAAAAGTCAGCAATGTAGTATTTGGTAAGGAAGAGCCTAACAAATCAATTCCATTGGAAACAGAAATGCAACAGTTATATTTACGTTTTACAGAAAGAAAGTAGAACGTTTGTATAATTTTGGATTTTGCAGGTTATTCATCAGCTTTGTTTTGTTCATATCATAACAAAGTACTGGGAAACATATTTGGTTATCAATTTTGAACATTTAATATTTAAAATGTTATTTTATTTTGCACTATTTTGTTTGACTTTTGCTTACTTTTCTAATTTTCTCTTAAGATATTTTTAGGATATTATCAATGTATTTATTTATTTATTGTTATTATTGTATTTACA